ATTCCTGTTCATTTGTGATCCTGTTCATTTAGAATCCCATTCATTTGGCATCCTATTAATTTAGGATGTCTGTTCACTTTGGATCTCATTCATTTGGGATCCTGTTCATCCCATTTCTCTTCCCTTTCTGGGCAGCCTGTGCCAGAGCCTCACCACATCTTCACCACACTTTCCCTTGGTACCAAAGCAGGACACAGAGGTTGGAAGGAAAGCAGCAAAAGCTGTGAATCCTCTCTTCTTTCTGCCCCCTGTTATGGGGAAGGAACCCACAAAGGTTAAGAGAGTTTGGTCTTATTTTCATGCCTGCAACTGCTATATGGACAAGAGCTACAGGAGATTTGCGGACTGGCTGCAGAACCCCTTTGGGATGGTGGGATGATCACAGAATCATTCAGGTTGGAAAAGACCCTTAAGCCATCGATGAAGGTCCATCCTTCGCTGAGCCAGCAGCACAGCTCCGATGTCCTGGGATTACATCACTTTAAAGGCAGCTCCTGCCTTTAACCCCCCCTTGATGCTACGTGTAATAAATTCATTGATCCTTGAGCGGATTACAGGAGGAGGAAAGGGCTGGATTTCCCCAAGCCTTGCCCTGCTTTCATGAAGAAAGCTGGATGCATGTGGTCTGTATGGATCCCAAGTTTTTATGGTTTTATTACTGTGAATGTCAAAAGAAACAGGACACTGGGAGCATCACAGCTTGCTGTGCAGATCGTTGCCCAAGAATCCCGGGAGCTGCTCCTGTGATCAGCAATCAGCTGCCAGACCTGCTTTATCACCTTAAAACCAGATCCGGAGCAGAGAGCAAGGGAAGAGCCCTGTGCCAGGGGACGGCTGTGCCAGCCCAGCTCCCAGCTCCCGACTCCCAGCCCTTGGTTCAAACACTCCTGTTCCCAAACGCAGCATAAATAAATGCCAGTGGTTTGCTGTTCCCCACTCCTTAACATAAAAGGCCTCGAGAGTCCTACCCCAAAGCTGGAAAAACCCGAGTCTCCCTTCCCCCTCGGCTCCCTCCCTGCTGGTTTCGGAAACGGAGAGGAAATACTTGTAATGTTATCAACATAAACACAGCTCTTGGCCGGCTGCAACATCCTGCGAGCTCTGCAGAAAAACAGCCTGACGTCAGGGCGCCGGCTCTGCCGAGGAGAAAGGAGCTGCACTGGGCACCGCTGCTCCGGAGGCTTGGGATGCTCGGAATCCTGTCTTCCCTTCAAACCTTCTTCTTCAAAAATCAGGGCTAGAAACCTCAGTCATTGCTATTGATGTGCCTGCAAACATTTTATATATATATATTTTTACATGTATATATGGTGTATATGCACCAAACTGCTTGGGATCTTTCTATAGGAAAGGCAGGACTTTAGGCTGCAGGATGTATGTTTTAAAATAAGCAGATCTTGTCATGATGACTGATGCTGGAGGGGGGAAAAAAAGGAAATAATCTCTTCATAAAGCATTAAGTGGCTTAAAAATGTGTGTGCTGGGGGCACAGGGGGGTCAGGCTGCAGAATCACCTCCCTGTGGTTCCAGAATGCAAGGAATTAGTATTTATTGCTGTAGAAACTGCCCAGATCCAAGCGGGATACAGCCGTCCACAATCAAAGGCAGGTTTTACCCCCACCTCTGGCATATTCCTAATTCCTGGAAAATGAGGCAATCTTTTTGTGTGTGCAATGAGGAGACACAAGTCGAATTCTAACCAGCTTTCCAGGACCCCAGAAATCCCTTTTGTCACGAGTAGGATGCTGAAATGTAGTGACTTGGCTGAGATGACTCAGCTGCCTTGTGCTGGCCCCAAACTGCAGTGAAAAATAAAAATAATCTTCAGTTTTCTTCTTTTATATTTTTGGCAGGGGAGAAGGCAAAACTAGGAGCAAGGTTAGTGTTCGCACCGGTTGGCTCTTTGAAGCAGCTCACAGTAGGGCGAGAACAAATATCAACATAAAGAAAGGGAAAAAGGT